TAATTGCTTWGTAAAGGAGAACGTTTTCTGGAGAAAGTAATAATTTTACATTTTGAAACGTTCGAGTACCTTTTAAATTTAACGYACTGCTTTCTACGAGGGGAAAAAGATACACTATCCAAGAAAAGAAAGGATCGTGGAGATCTATATAGTATGAGGCGATTATATTCAAGTGAGTTATATTATATCATAGTATATAACAATAATAATAATAATAGGTATACTATATTAGAGTTTATATGTAGGCTCTTAAATTCCTCACGATGCACACTGGTCGCGCTATATGTTGTCGTCCAATGCACTCATCGTCTTTTGTTACGGATACAKATAGTACGTATATGTGTAGTTATAGTGTTCGTATATGATGTGTATAATATTATTATTAACTATTATTATTACAATTGCTGCAGGTTGTAACTTATATAACCAATCTTGGGGGACCAGCGTGTAATACAGGAAGTCCAGTAACAAGTAGACCTGTTATAACGTTAACTAGGTACGATGCGTTTAAGACGTTTAAGTTAAACGGTGTTCCTCGTTAAATTTTCCTTTGACTATTCGAAAAAAAAAATATTCAATTTATTGCGTAAAATAATAAATTTATAATTATTTTTGGGGCATACTGCATGTATTGTTTTATATTATATACTATTCACATGATAAAAATGAAAAATATTCTTAATTTAAATAGAAACTGACATAATAATTTTTAGATAAAATATATTAATTTAAAAATCAAAATACTCWATTAGACAATGTTYTAAAGATTTACTATGTACAGTATACAGGATATATATATATACAGACATCCCGTAATAAGGATTAATCAATGGATTTTCACGGACAGGGCTGTTTCGTGGAAACATAACTATAATAACATTTAAAGGGAATATCATATTATTGTATTACTGCACATATCATGTATTCTTCATTACCTAGATGGTGAAATTAATGAATGAGTGAAAAAACAGCGAAATTTCAAAACAGTGTAAATGACGTTAACGCTGGGCGTGCGTGCAATTAACTTTTCACAAATTTTTYGTTACGTTTAATGTCGTGCGAATGTGCTATTATCAGATATAATATAATTATTATTTTTTGATTTATAAATATTAKTAAAAAAAAATYATTCACCATCGGTCAACACCTACATTATTAAATCACAAATATACGGTAAACAGATAATATTAACAACAGATACCTATTATAAAAAAATAAATGTAATTCTATAAATAAATAACATTTAAATTAACAATAATAACACGACGATGATGATTTTAAAATGGATAAGATATATTAAAAGCTCCATTTTTAAAGTGGACAATTTAGATGATGTTGAAAATAATGCTTAATATTGCAAGTTATAAGCTGTTAMCACATTTTAAAAGGAATTTAAATGATGAATAATATTAAACAAAATATTCAATATTACCTATACAAGATAGATAGCGATAAAAATTAAAAATTAAAACTTATCCAATTAACTTAAATGATTCGGGAATAGGATGTTAGATGAAATACAAAACTACTTTAAAAACAACTTTTCATAAGAAGTCTCAATTAAAAAATAACGTTTTAATTAATAATTAATTTTTAAAAAGAGCTTTTTTAATATACCGAAACACTAACTTTTAAAAGTAATCAATTTTTTTTCTCAATTATTCATAATAATATAAAATTAACATAATCTATATCATATCAGTATACAATATAGGGAAATTGTTTATTAATCCTATATTATATAATCTATATTTTAATTATTCTTCCTGACTTCATCCGATGGATGTTTGATACTTACTTATATGTAGTTATATATGACTTATATATATTGATCGTAAAAATTAAATTAATTTACAATAGGTACGAGAATTCTAATTCAACGTAACTTTGTATTATAGCTGAATTTATATAGATTTTATAAATTGATATAATTATATCTGAAATTCTTAGTTATACACACAAATAAAATATTAAAAATATTGATGGGTATTTAATACATATTTATTAAAATAATATAATTGTGATGAATTAGATGACATTATTGCATTTGCAAAAATAATCAGTCAATAATTTGTGATGCAATGTATACCATTTTTTTTTCCGTTTAAACCGACAGCAGAGGAGGATCTGTACGAACACTACTACTCCTCTGCTGCCATCGTTTATTAATGTTTAATAAAAACGCTAATACATACACATATTTAACATATAACTAATTATGGTTGCTTCACCTTAAAATAAAAATATTAATGCAATAGATACATTTCAGTACAATACAATGTGATACAATAAATAATAAAGTCCGTCGGTAATCGCGGCCCGCTGTCAAGTGCATCTTCGTATGCTCAGTCAGTTGGAGCGGCTGCCACTGCATTCGCTCTTCGTTTGGTCTCAGATATTCTTTCATCATGCTCCTTGCAGCTTAAAATGTTGTCAACCATGTCATAAAAGGACTGAGTTGCGCGTTGGGAGGCAGCCAGTAGCCGGTCGTTCTCGCTGGGCGGGACATCAGAGGGGCCGCACAACAAATCCTGTACGTCACCCGGGGTAATATTTCGGTTTACCAACAAACATCTTCACTGGCAGCCGAAGCGGATCCCAGTAAGCACAATCAAAGATCGTGTGTTCCGCAGTGTCCTCCGGGTGTTGGCAGTACAGGCAAGCCGCATCAGGGGCGCCCTTCATCCGGTGTAGGTAGTACCTGAAACACCCGTGTCCCGTAAGAGCCTGCGTTATATGAAATGTGAGGTCTTTAGGACATCTTCTCGTCCATCTTAGCAGGTCCGGAAGAATCGAGTGCGTCCAGGCTCCTCTAATGCCCCGACTCCATCTGTTCGACGTTCGACCAGGCAGCAAGCAGGATGTCTCGCTCTGCTCTCCGGATCTCATCTTTTGAGTCAGCTCTGTCCGGGTCATCAAGTTTACTTCGGACTCTTTTGCGTTCTAAAGCAAGAAGATCACCCGGAGGAGTTCCCGCCAGAAATAAGGCTGCCTCAGCCGAGACTGTGCGGTACGCCCTCGTGACTCTGAGAGCCGCAATCCTCTGTGCCCGAATCATAAGGTTTCGACAGATAGCGTACTTGCATGCTCTTTCCGCCCACGTTGAACAAGCGTACAGCAGCCTGCTGTTCACCACAGACATTAGCAGCGCTCTCTTAGACTGTGACGGTCCTCCAAGGTTGGGCATGAGTCGTCCTATAGCCAGCGCTGTCTGGGACGCCTTCCCTGAAACAGTAGTGAAGTGTCCACTGAATGTAAGATGTGAGTCCAGATGGAGTCCCAGGTATCGCAACTTCCTTAGCAAAGGAACTGTGTGACCCCCTACAACGAACACCGGGTCCCGATACGCCCACTTCTTAGTCAGCATGATAGCCTCTGTCTTGTGCCGTGCTAGTTGAAGTCCATGAGCGCCCATCCAGCCATCAATAGCGTCTAATGTGGGGTTGACCCTCTCCTCCAGGGTGTCTGAAGTCTCTCCGACTGCGAGCAGGGCTAGGTCATCTGCAAAGCCGACAAGCTGAACCCGGAACGTCCATCCTGAGAATGTCATCGTAGAATACATTCCACAATGTAATGAGAACTGACCCCTGCGGGACATCCCCTGTGACCGGTCTGTCAGTGCTGTTCTCACCAGATGTTCTAATGGTAATTGTACGATCCTCCATGTGTATGACCGTAAAATTTTTAGGAGGTATCGAGGGACTCCTCTGCGTCGAAGAGCCTCATCCACTTGCTTCCATGGCGCAGAGTTAAAGGCATAACGTCGAGTGCCACCAGGACGCATAGTTCCTGATTTTTTGAGGGTCCATGATTGGCCCACTTAGCCAGGTCAAGAACCTTATTGATGGCGTCCTCAGTGGAGCAACCCCTTCGGAAGCCAAAACTTGTTGGTACTGAGTCCACCATCCCTTTCTAAGTGCTCGTTAAGCCTGAGTAGGAGGATCCTCTCAAATAATTTCCCAGCGGTGTCTAGCATGCAGAGAGGCCGAAAGCTGGATGGATTAGATACTGGCTTGTCCGGTCCTTTATGAAGAAGTAGGAGTCTGTCCCTTTTCCACCTAACAGGAAAAACTGACTCGCTTAAATATCTATTGTACATGTTAACAAATATATCGGGGGACCTATTGGCAATCAGTGAAAGCATCTCGTTAGGAATCCCATCCAACCAGGTCGCTTTGCCCCTTGACTGTCGAGAGACTGCTAGCCTGGCCTCCTCTGTAATGATGGGCGGGTACTCATTACCATGATTTAAGTTGTAACCTTCGGCAGTGGTGGTTGGGAAGTTAGGATCTACTTGGCTATCCATCGGCACACGTTGCCAATTGATAATTGGCATAGAGGGAAATAGGTGATCAGCAATCTCTTTTCACGTCCTATTGCCGCTATATCTGGTGGCTGTCTGCCCAGCCACCCTGAAACAATTCTTTATGGCACACCCCAGGGATCGTTATCTACCGATGCTCAAAAGACAGCCCAGCTAAGCTTCTGTGACTTGCGGATGGAAGCGCGTAAAACCTTGCGTGCCTCTCTGAAGGCAATTCTTTCCGCTGTACTGCCATCAGGACCTTGTTTCTTAACCGCTCTGAGATATATACCTAACCCGCAACCAGGAGAGTTTCATTCTCTCTTTCCCCCTGTCGTATAGCTTGGTCCAGACCATCCAGGAAATTCTGGAATTCAGGAAAATCCCTTAAAGGCCTCCAGGCGGTCCGCAGCAGAGTCGTCGTTGGGGATCCAGTAGCAGCTGAATGCTCTAACATTTCCGAATCGGAGCCATGCAAAGCCCGGGCCAGAGCCGGAATCCTCCACCACAGTGCCCACAATGGTAGTCAGTGCTATTGAGCACCTCCCGTCTGAACTGGATGCCCAGCTGGGGTGGTTACATGGGGATCTGTTGTGCTCGCTGAGGATGAGGAGGCCAATGTCCATGTTCAGAACGGTTCGGGAAAGTAGCTGTTGAGCAGCCCAGTCGGTGTGGAGGTTGATTTGCAGACAGCGAATCATTGCATCGAGCGTGCTCCATCTCCGCTGGCTACCCGCTGAGACTGCGCTTGCGAATTGTGCCCAGCTAGTATCTTGAGCGCCTCCTTCCTGGCTTTGCACATACCTGAACCTGGCTTATGTTCAAAACGTTCAATGCCAGCTCTCTCACACGCAACACATCGGTCTTTGTCCGCCAAACATAATTTAAGTTCGTGTACTGGTTCTCCACAGCGTCTGCAATTCAACGATAGGTCGGGCCCGGAGCAATTCTCACTCCGATGAACGAATCCGTGGCATCTAAAGCACTTTTCGGGTTCAGGACGCCTAGGGCGAACGCGGCACATTGTCCATCCAATAGGGACGCGGGTTACAGTAGTGGCAGAAGCTCTGGTCATTCTGGCGGTAACAATTTTCTGGCCAGACGTGGTGGACCAAAGGCCAATGATCTGAACTGCCTGTCGTTCGCAAATTGCAGCTTGGTCGTCTTCAGATCCTGGTATTGCCGCCCGCAATGCCGAAAGAACCTCGCCCTCGGTCGTCACTGCGTCGAGGTCAACAAATCTCAACAACAGTAAACTGGCTAAGCTGTGACACTCCTCCGACCGCATCACCCAACCTAGTGGCTATGGCCGACGACTATTTCTGTGCTGCTACTACTGATCCCGCACCTTTGGCTAGCTCAACCAGCAAGTGCCCATCCCTGGTTTTGCGCATGCCAGTAACCTGAGCTCCCAGCTCAACATGCAATATATACCTCCATGATGTTTTTTCATAAAATTATAGATAATGTCCTCATAGTTACACGTGTACCGTTTGACTTAGACGAGTCTCATTATTTATAATATATTATACAAGATATAAGTAATAAGTATATTATGCAGTTATTGATTTGCATTTAAACACGCATAATATTTATTTTGTTTGTGTAATCAGAATCACAAATATCAGTCTATGGAAATAATTATACGAGTAAATGCACTACTTGTATCATGCAGATATAACATTAAAAGTAATGCATAATTATATTTATATACTATAGTAAATATTATAATATTCCAGTATATAAAAAAGAAGGTAATCAATTAATTATCAATTCATGTTAATATTATTTGTGACATAAAACTTTTCCTCCACTTAACCACCTAACCTAGCTGGTTATGATACAACACATCTTTATGTTCCGATTCCATTTCATTTAAAAATTCTATAAATTGTCTATGTTTTAATCCGTACAATCTAATAAAGTTGACTGCTTTTGTAACAATATTCATCACATGTTCCAAATTCATAATTTTACCACACAGAGATTGTTCATGAATRATATAATGTRAAAATATAGGCATTGCAATCATTTTTGAAGTTGTTAACTCATCTATCCTTCAAACTAATCCGTTATTTCGACCAACCATATTTGGAGTTCCATCTGTTATGATACTATAAAGTTTTTCTCAGGTCAGTCCTAAATTTTCAATACAACAATTCACTTTTTCAAATTTCAAAAATATCAGCTCCTTTTGTAGTAGGTACCAGAAATACTTTCTAATGAAACAAGTGCTTCTGTTATATTATATTCTGWATCTATTCCTCGTATAAATATTAACAACTGTGCAGTATCTGACAAATCAGTGCTTTCGTCTAAAGCTAAAGAAAAAAATATAAACGCTTTCGATTTTATTTGTAACTGCGTCATTAAATTACCTCTAATGTCTTCTACMTGCCTAGTAATAGTGTTTCGAGAAAAACTTATAATCTCGAATACAGACATTTTTTTCTGGAATAATTTCTTTTACACTTGCTAAGATACATTTTTTAACGAATTCACCATCACTAAAACTTTWATTTTCGTGAGATATCAGATTAGCTACTTCATAACTTGCTCGAATGATATCCWYCTTACCTCTGATATGTTTTTCAAATACATTTCTAACTMGTTCACTTTTGAAATTTTGTTTGAATTTTTCTAACAGAGAAATTCTAAGATTCCCTAAAAATATAAATTTAAGCATTTATTTCTACATTTACTTAGCGATATACCTAAATATCTCCTTCAAAAAAATAAAACAATTATGATAAATATATGTACCTTTACAACTGACGTATTTGCTTTGATGTTTACTTTCATAATGCCTTTTAATATTAAATTCTTTAAAGACCGTGAAAGTTTCGTAGCATAACAAGCACATGGGTTTAATACGATGCTTAATAAAAAAACAGCTGAGACTCCAAATATCATTGAAAACAAAGCATTCGGAATCAATTTTGCGCTTTTTATTTTGAGATATTTTAATAATTAAAATGTAATTTATTTTTTTTTTTGCAAACAAAAAAATGAACCTTTAATTTCTAATGACGAAAACGAACTAGCAACTAGCGTGGAAATATTCATTGCTTTAAACACATACAATTAGAGTCATAAATTTGATAAGTGAAAAAATATAATAATATCCCATAAAATGTACAATAAATATACCGAATGTCCTAATAATATAGCATTAACGAGAATATTATATGATTAGGAACTGGCCCCAAACGTTTTAATTGTGTTTGATTATTTATTGCGCTCAAATTGTTTGGCTTAACACATTAAAAAAATAGCTGCAATGAAGAATAATATTCTATCATTATTGTATTGGTATTTATATGCTCACTTGCCGCCTACTGCAGTCTACCTAACGCATTATAAAGATTGCTCGTTTGAGATGCGTTAAAAATCTGACAAGCATAATATTATTATTACCATTCATTTATAATTCGCTTTCGCCACTATCATAATAAAAGGTCAATAATCTTTAAATATTATATTATGTTCATACGATATAACATTATATACTTATTAGTTATTACCTATAATATATATAACTAATAAAACTATCGTAAYCACGGKATTATAATAGAAAATATATTTTATGATTCGTATTACTATTCATTGTATTTACATTTATATTATAATACCTAAATGTATTCATAATTATATAGGACATATTTAAAACGTATATTTTAACTTCAAAAATCGTAGTTTTTACATTTTTAATTTATATAATGTATAATAATTAAGAATGTACAACATTTTATAAAAGTAAATTGAAATATCAAATGTTATGACTTATAAGTTATAAGGCTGAAAATCTATGAAATAAATCGTCTGAGTTGACTAAATTATTTGACAAATTTTAAATCACATGTTATAATATCATTTTTATAATGATATAGCCGGTATAGGTAAGCATGTATAAAACATGCGAGTAATTAATATGTAAAGAGTTTTTCAGTGCTTATCATAATGAAAATAAAATATGTAATATTTCATAGAAATTCAATTCTTGCGGGTCACATTCGAAATTTATATTTATACTGCGAACCGTATATACATATTACATATACATATATATTCGCGGTTTTATTTTTTTGTTCATTTCGATAAAATGTGCAGTAGATATATCATAACCGTCTACACGATGTAAGAATCAATGAGATTTAATATTTAATACCTATAAAATGGCGTACATTCATACATTTTTAGTAAGTTCCTATCTACTTATTACCACGTATATAAGGTTTTTTGTATGTCTACATTACATCAATATTCTTATACGGAGTATGTACGGTCGCGTCCGTTGACATTGATATAACTATTATTATAATTATTGGGTTTGGGACTCCCGAAAATTCCCAGGAACGATCCAGCGAATGTCAAAAACTGTCAAAAATCACAWTTTTTTTTCAGCTATGAACTTTTGTTACTGTAAGCAGGCTCGTCTCTTGATTTATGTATTAGATAATATATTATTTACATCATAAGTGCAACTATATTTTTTATATATTTTAATTTATTTTGAAATGTATTTTAAAATTATACATACCTGCTACCATGGTAGTATAGAATACAGTGACGTACTTTGGATTTGGTTGCCCTGAGTACACTTTTTATTTAATGTCCTTTTCTTCCCTACATTTTGTTTTTTATGGTGGCAATTTTTTTCGACCATAAAAAAACTTATACAACACATGTGTACAATTAGCTGCCTGGGGAATTATTGTTTCTCGTGMCCCTCTTAAATACGCCACTTACATTATATCTAAGAGTTGGTAATTATTATTCATCATTTGGTACAGATAATATTTTTTAGCATTAAAATAGAGCACCTAAGTTGGTACCTAATTTTTTCTGAGTAAGTAAGGTACCTATTGTGATTTGTGACTATTACATAATATACTACTCAATTAGATACTGATGAAAAATTTTCAAATATTTTTTTACATTCTGRGAGGAATGAAGAAAAAAATTAAAAGAGATCACAAATTTTTTGTTGATTATTCATTATTATTATTACTTATAGTAACTTTATAGGAACGCCACCAAAATATTTACAAGACGTATAATTATTTAGTACCATAGGCACATCATTTATTTTCATTATTTTCTAGTTAAAAGATTTCATATATGGACGAATCTATTATGTCTTAACTCTTAAGGTGTCCAATCCGAGACGTGTCCCGAAAATCTTTATTGGGATTTTTACATGTCTAAGAAGCATTATTTTTTATTAAAAATTTGTACAGCATAATTTGATAAATTATATTACTTTTCTGCGGTATCACCAGTTTTTTTCCATAACTATTTATTTAACAATGAGATTTTGATTGTTAAAATTCTTTAAAATATTAAGAAATAAAAAAAGATTTATTTGTTTTATAAAATGTATTAAATTTAAATTTAATTATTATTAACAGTTATAAAAGATTACATGGGTTAAGTTGTTATATTGTACCTACCTACAATGTTAATATTGTTTGTTATAATATTTTTTTGTTTTTATAAAATAGAATATCAGTGAATTGTAATGGGACCCAATGAACCAATTTAGTTTACCAGTACAGGTACCTACATATTAACGTGGATCGCGGATAATTCACCGCGTTAAATATAGGTATTATTATATAAATTATTAAATATTATATGAATATATATTTTTATATTATTATATAATATATATTAATACTGAAACCCAATTAAAATTTTTAAGCAGTATAAGTGCTTTTAAAAGGAAAATTTAGCAAAAAACTTGAATATTTAAATGAAATACGCCAATGCGCCATTATTATTAGTCATGTGATGGCTATGATTCAGCAATATCTGTATAATGCATGCAAATTCCCACACGTTTCCAGGAATTGTCCATCCGTATATCTATATATATATATATATATATATTAATATCTATGCTTGATGAAGTATAAAAATTAAAATGTTTCTATGTGATAATAGCCGTCTGAACTACAAAAAGAGCAATATTAAATATATAGTAGGTATAGCCGGTATAGGCTATTATTCGTAAAAAGTTAATGAATTTATCAATTATTTATTAGGTAATATATTTTGTATATTATTATTATTTAATTTTCTAATTAGGATAACGAACTTGAATATTATTGGATTTCAGATTTTAGATTATTATTTTTTCAGAAATATTCATCCAATAATAAAATTGTATTAATTAATCTATCGGAAACCATGAACCTTATAATCGGTAATTAAAATATAAAAAAACTCGTCGAAAACAATTAGTGGTTGTCTCACGGCGGTTGTTCGCTCTAGTATATTATGCTA